AATCGCCACCAACACTTCGTTTGTCACTCCTGCTGCAATTCGCATTTCTAACTTTCTTTCCAATTTTCTCAGCAACCAAACATAATTAGGGTTCGCAAATATCTGATTAATTTTGAACCAAGATTGCGGTGGCTGTTGAAGCAGGGCACCCGTAGAATTTCCTTTTCCATTTTTCTTTTTCTTCTATTATTTATCTTCCCGGAAATTAAAAAAAAAAAAATTCAGCCTTTTGAAATGGGCTAATGAGCTTGGGTCTAGATGAAGTCTGGCCCATGTGAACCGGGTTGGTCTCCAATATCAAGATTTAAGCCTGGCCCATGTTAACTGGTTCGGGTCTTCTCATCCGAATCCACTGGAAGTCTTGAATTACGGCCCCGTTGCCGTCGCTGCCACGCTGATCTTCCGGCGGAATACTCTAGTGTCGTCTCCGTCTTTCTCACCCAGAATCGTTCATTTGCCGTCACAGCGGTGACAACAACCTCGGCGAGCTCTGGTAGTCAGGCAACCAAACCTGTGACGCGCTCTCTTTCGAAAAAAACTCAATGCAAAGTCTCCTCCTTTCTCTGCCCCTCCTAACGGCCCTTTTGCTTATTTCTCTAGGTTCTGCTTTCCTCTGTTAATTTATGCAAATGGGTCGAGAACTAGCCGGAAAAGAACTGAGTTTTAGAAAAGATTTACGAGGCCTCGTTTTAGATTCAATTTTTTTTTTTAAATCACAAATTGGGATACATGAGTGGGATTTGTAAAGAATTTTGTTTTCATCTGATATTAGTTAAATGAATTAAAGACGCCACATTTTAGTAGAGTAGTGCCATTACCATTTACCTCAAGCTGTAACTTGAGGAGATAGATGATGGAATATATTGAGTTTGGTAAGATCAAAGGAGGATTTTTTTTTTTTTTTTCCAGAACTCATTTCATTTGAAAAATGATGTTATAGATGTCACTGAGGCATTACTTTGGGTGGTCGGATTACAAGCCTTGTTCTGGATTGATGAGGCAGACAGCTGGGATTTGCACTGTTGGAGGAGCATTGGGATTTTGGGTTCTCTGCAGATTGCATTATGGTTTACTCTACTCTTTTAGTATTTTTTTTTCTTTCCCTGTTCTGTTCTCTCAAATCAATTTACCTTGGATACTCATTATGTTGTTTGCTTGATTCTTGGTTTGTGATGATTGAATCTATGCTAAAAACTAGTGTTTCTTGCAGGTCCCAGAATTACAGTACCTAGAAGTCTTAGGTGGGCAGCTTGTGGAGCTATATCTGTGAGCTCTACATCTGCCTTGTTGGTTTGCCTCTTCAGTCCTGAATGTGAACCTCAGAATATAGCAGCTTATGAGAAGTAGTGGATGCATCACTCCTCCTCATTTCCTGACTACTAGGACGAATTTCATATGATGTTTGTTTGTTTGTTGCCTGTGATTGATTTGCTGCGGAATTTCATGCTGAGCATCTCTGTGGAGTTGATGTAGTTGTCTAGCTGTGGAGTCATGAGACCATGGTTTGCATTGAGTTGTAGGTTGGATGCTGTCTTTTTGTCTTACCGTTAGTTGATTGCTCCTTGAAGCATTGTAAAATGTCAGAGAATGTAATCAGCTTCATTGCAGTAACACCAGAAACATGCTGTTCAATTCGGCCAATCATTCATTGCAAACAGCATTTTACCTACGTAAATTTTTTGAGGAAATCTATGAATCTAAGATACTTTTTCTATGTGAAATAGCTTCACCTATTTTTACCCAAAAAAAAAAGAGAAATAATAAGATTTATGTTTTTTAGGTCAGATTATATAATATTGAAATTATTAAAATGTTATTAATAAAATAATATAAAAAATTATTAAACAAATTTTAATAAAATTATATGTTGAATTGTATAATCTAACTAAAAGACCACTTTTTTTTTTTTTTAAAAAAAAATTATAACTTTTAAGAACTCTCACTCAAAATAATTTAAATACTATATACTAATTTAGCACATAGTATCTTCCAAGAACTCATACTTTTTTAAAAATATTTTTGGCCAGGAAAAGTCAGAATAA